ACAGGTACACACATACACACACACACACACACACACACGCTCGTATATAATGTTTTTCTGCTCTGAATGCTGCATGATTTCCTGATGGAGCTGAGTGTGTGTGTGTGTGTGTGTGTGTGAGAGAGTGTGTGTGTGTGTGTGTGTGTGTGTGTGTGTGTGTGTGTGTGTAACATGGTGTGTGTTTGTTGCATCAGGCTGTTTGAGAGGAGGAAGTGGCAGAGAGTCAAGAAACCTTCATCGTCTCGAACCCTGTGAGTCTTCCTCCTCATTTTCCTCTTCATCTGACCTGCATGCCGCTTACTGCCTTTAACTGTGTGTCTGTAACATACAGTAGAGATGTGAATAAAAATAAATAAATACAGTAAAAGCCTTAGTTGATTTAAACAAGCTGGTCTCCTCGTGCACCTCTGGACGGTTCTCAGCTCAGCTGAAGTCTCGGCCTGTCCACCTGCACTTGAAGTACACAGTGAGGCAAATGTGGCGAGTAGAAGCACGTGACCGCTGTCCTGGTGTGGAGAAACGTGGGCACGCACCACAGTTTGGCTCATTTCATCTGAATGTTGTTCCTCAGACACTGGAGGACATTTCCAGCTCCACTTTGACAGGCTCAAATATCACACTGAGCTATAACCTCACACTGGAGTGAGCTTCAACCAGAGCCCAGCTCTCGCTAACAACAATGATCTTTCACAATAAATTTAAGCCAGTTTGAAACAAAAGTTCATGTTTGCACTTAGTGTCACTGCAGGACTTCAGCCTTGCTGAAAGAGGTCTGCAAGTGGCTGACAGGATGACTTCGAAGGGTCGAAGGTCATATGTCTCCTTCAGGTCTCAAAATAACTTCCAGCTGTTATACTAAAAACAGACCTGAGAGTGATGGATCAACCTTTACTGATGCTAATAGCTTTTTCTATCCAAAGGAAGTGTAAATATGACCTGAATTTCAAAATAAAACACTGCCGGTGGAAATGCTAACTGATGTCTGTTTGCGTCCACATGAGTACTGAGGAGTGTAATTGTTACCAGCAGCAGGAAATAACTCATATGATGTGTTAGATGTTCTGGTTTTATCAAAAGTGAAAGCCTGAAGGTGCAGAAACCTAAAAGTAGAGAGTGTAATTCATTTACTGACTCGTGCTGTTTGGCAAACAACCTTAATAAAGCGCGTTTGTGTCTGAGCCGCCTCCTGTGCTGCTGCCTGCATGGCCTCTCTGCTGTAACTACTGTAACTCACACTCTCAGTGCAGACACACAACTGTGGTTCAAGTCTGACAGTGTGTGTGTGTGTGTGTGTGTGTGTGTGTGTGTGTGTGTGTGTGTGTGTGTGTGTGTGTGTGTGTCCAAACAGGGGTCCGATCTGGGATGGATGGAAGGGCTAAACCTTTATATTGGTTGAACTCCACCCACATCAGCTCGAAGGTGGAGGGCGTGGTCGTCAAGACATCATCACCAATTGACCACCACGGCTCCGCCTCACCTGTCAGCCAATCAGCTTCTTTAGTCTATGTGACATCACCAGGACCTCCCACCCTGCCGCTCAGGGAGACACTGGGACAAAATAGTCGACGCACCCCTCCACTGGGTGCTCCCGCTTCCTCCTCTTCCTCCCTTGACGAGGAGGGGAGCACCATGTGGAGGAGCAAGAAGAAGGAGGATGGGGATGAGGAGGAGGATGGGGATGAGGAGGAGGATGGGGATGAGGAGGAGACAGAGAGGTAGACGAGGAAACCGTGATTGTAAAATAAAAGCAGGCTTGTTTGAGGAAAAACGTTTTGCTGTTTCACACCACCGAACATCAATCTGCTGAAATTCTATCTCTTCTTATCGACTCCTGTTTTCATCTCGTCTCTGACAGAAATCATGTTGCTTCAGGTGTTCATTAAGCACTCTTTGATTTTAATCAGTTTTTTTCAGACAGCAACGCTGGAGCGTCAGTTTATAAAAAAGTTTCTTTTCTTCGTTTTTTTCAGCGACTCTGTTAAAGATGGAAAAATTCAGATAGATGTTATTTTCCCATTTTTGTCTCCAGTGAGAGAACAACACAAACAGCTTCTGCCGTGATGAAATAAATGTTGTGTACCAACCTCTTAACTTTATTTTTGATACATTTTCTTGCTATTACGCTATGTTGAAAATGGTAAATGGGTATTAATAACAAGAAAATGTTCATAAGGAAATGTTTGTCCTTGATACAGGAAACTTTGCTTGTTCCATAAAGATGGAATAAATTAAAAAGAGGAAACATGTGAACCCACTATGAGGACAAACATTTGTATTTTTTATGGCTTTACAGTTTTTTACAAAATATAATATAATAACCTAAATCATAAATATCATAAATACTGAAAGCAGATGAAAACTGTCACAGTATAACCAGAATTTTGTTTCCACAATAATGAATAAATAAGTAAAACAAATTCACATCTCTTTAAAACAAGAACAAATATTTTAACATATTTTTGAAGCTTTGGGGGAAAATGTTCCAGCTGCAGTAAAAAACTTTTTACATGAGACACATTGTTTCTGACATTTTTATCATATCTGAGTTTTATAAGAAACAATGACATCAATACTAAAAGATCTTGGAAATGTGAAGTTTTTTGAAATTTACATTATTGTCTGACACATTTCCTTAGGGGGGAAAATTGGTATATCACAATAACAGGAGAATAAAGTCTGATGAGATTAAAAAGTAGTGAAACTTTGTTGTGACACAATATCCTGAGTCCGTCATTATTGATCAGCTTTTTAAAGGTAGTAGAAGTTTTGACATATTTTCACATTCTTAGAAAAATATTGTTATCACTTGATTCATCTTCAAAACTCAGTGAAAGAAATGTAATGATGACAAAAGAAACCATAAATAAGTGTAAACCAGTATAAAAGAACTTTAGGCTGTTTTCATGATATGAAATAAAACAAAGTTTTCGTTTTTAATAAGAAAAAGAGGTAAAGGTATGATTTTAAAGCTTGTTGAAATTTTGTGATCATCAAAAAATATAGTAACACATATAATCACAGTTTCTCTCTGATTATGTGAAGTTTTACAAGAAACATTGTTAACATGCTGACAGCTGGGTTTGTGTTATTCAATTCAGTTCAGTTCTATTTACACAGCGCCAAATCACAGCAACAGTCGCCTCAAGGCGCTTTATACTGTAAGGTAGACCTACAATAATACATACAGAGACAAACCCAACAATCATATGAGCCCCTATGAGCACTTTGGTGACAGTGGGAAGGAAAAACTCCCTTTTAACAGGAAGAAACCTCCAGCAGAACCAGGCTCAGGGAGGGGCGGGGCCATCTGCTGCGACCGGTTGGGGTGAGAGAGAGTTATAAAATAAAACATTTCATTTTCATGTTATTTTGACGTATTTATCAGTTTCTTCCTTCTAAAACAATAAATCATCTCATCGTAAGGAGAAAACACAGAGTACATCCAAGTACGAATTGGTTTTTACGATGTTGCTTTTCATGGTTTCGTGGGCTGTTAAATCATCTGTTTGGGAATAATAGCCTTCAAACAGTTATTTTATTATTATCATTGTTTTAAACTACACGTGAAAGATGGTTTTAAAGCCTCAGTGTTTTGGTGGTCAGAAACCTTCATCAATGAACTGCACGGGGGCATCACTCAGACATGCATGCCTGCTAATTACAGCTAATTAACAGGCTGATAAAGAAGAAGAAAGATTAGCACAAATCTCTCAGAAAGTCCTGTTAGAGTTAGAGAACTTGTGTTGCAGACACATTTTAGTCTGTAGTGACCTTGGTCGTCGTTGGCCAACCTTTGATTCCATCTTCTAATAACGATCTTATAAATGTAGGTCATCAAACTATTTTCAACACAAATGGACACTTTGTCACTGCAGTAAGAAACCTGCCATATCTGTCTCATGTTTACATTATTACTTGTAAAAACGGAATCTCATGATAGCAAGAAAAAATGTCAAATATAAAAATGAGAAGTTATTTTTCTATTGAAACGTTTTTGTCATAATTTAGTATAAGAAAGTATTTTAATCTCTGACATTCTGATCATGATGAAAATGTATTCGTGTTGAACCTCGCAGTGAAGAGGCTCGCCATTTTTACAGAAGTATAGAAGTGAAACCACCTCTTCCTCCTCCTCCTCCTCCTCAGGTGACCTCCCAGTGGCCTCATTTGTTCTCCATGTTCATATTTAGTCTTTCTAACCATCTCTGAGGACTTTAAAGGACCTGCTCTCCCTTTTCCTGTTGTTACTAAACGGAGACTGAAGCGGACGCCACAAACCTTCACGCCGACCACTCTGACATCACTGTTGATGCAAATGTGATGTTGTTTTTTCCCCCTTCGCTAACTTGGGTGTCGGTTACCGTAGTGACCGACAGCTTTTTTGATGACAGAGCTACAGTTGTACTAACCTGGTGACTGACTACAGTTCCCATGATGCAATGCAGCAGCCCCGAAGAGAAGAACATGTCAGAGTCAAAGAGAACAAGCGAATGAATGAAGCGAGGGCACGGTGATGACGTCATCAGGTCTGGAAACAAAGGAGAGTTCACGGAGATCTGGTTCGGTGTTTTGGTTTTTTAACGCTTCATCGTCCAATCACGTTGTACCTACACACCGTCCTTTTGGTTCAGTTGTTTCGTCCGCTCAGCTGAGTTTTAAAGTATTTTTTTTCATCTAGATCAACAACGGAACATATAAAATGTAAATTGTAACTGTAGAAAAGCACGACTGGATTCACACAGGAAGTCAAAACACTGAAGTCATTTATTTTTGAGTTTCACGTCTGAATATTAACGCTGAGTGTTGAGAGAAGATCACCGTCAGTACAGCTGGACAGGAAGTGATTTCAGGCTAAGCCCAGGTTTCTGTCGGTGTCCCCTCAGATACTCTGGCTCTGTCAGATAGTTTTCTTACCTGCATCTGGTCCCGCTTGTGTTTCTTATATTTCCCAGAATGCTGTTCAGCTGTTCGTTTTATTACTGCAGCGGACCTGTTCTGCGTTTCAGTATTTTCTGTAACATATCAGCTATCCAGTATTGGATGTTCATATTAAACATGGCCAAGGTTCAAAACACAAAGGTCAGTGTGTACAAATAATCACCGCGAGCGCTGGGCTTCAGACTCTCAACAGTCAGTTTCAGCCCATTTTTTCAGTGCTTGGGTCTGTGTGATGTCATAGAGAGGAAATATCCCTAATATTGTCATCTCAGGCACAGCCTCACCCACCTGCAGCAGAAACAGCAGAAATCTGGATTGTAGGAGCTAAAACAGGCAGTGAGCCGAGCACCACGGCCCTGTTTGACATAAAGAAGGATTATTTTGAACTTGGACTCAGGAAAAGCTACTCTAGAGAGTCCAGGGCTGAAAATGTGGAGCTGGAAATTAGCAGAACAGATGTCGGTGAACTCGGTGATCCAAATTATTCGTGACCTATTATTCCCTGAAGTTAGCAGTCATACGTTATAACAGTCTGTGTAATATCATTTTTTAAACAGTTTGGATTTACTGTATATGGAGTACCGAACAGCTCAAGGGTCAAGAGGGAGAGCACACAGTGACCTAACATGATATCACAACACCACAGTGAGACCACTGTTCATTGGCTAATCTGGGCTTTTAGAAAAAAATCAACACATTACATCACGTTAATGTCATATCAGAGTTGCCATGATGAAGAGTTCTGGAGGTGATTTTCTTCCTTCCTGTGTGAATGCAGCTGTCACTCTGCTGTCTGTAGACGTTTTTTCTTTCTTTCTTTAACCCCAAAGTGTATTTTGCTCTGCGGTGCTATTTGCTGTCTAACAGATATCTAGGAAAAACCTTCTGGTTGTGTTTGAATGTATTTGTAAATGTGTAGGCGTGTCTTCTGAAGACGCACACGAGAACCGGACCGATGTGGTCCAGCTGAGCCTGGACGGATGCGCACATACACACCTTCACTTTATCCACACGCACGCACACACACGCTGAAGGACAAACTGCAGAGCACTTTGATTGGAGGATGCAGGGGACGAATGAACCAATGGAGGGTTCGTGGTGAGGCATGATGTAAAGCTGCCATGTGCAGCCAGTTAATACTGATCTAACACACCTGTACAGTCACCCACTGACCTGTGGATACAGTGATTGGTTTTAGTTTGTGAATAAAGTGTTGAATGCCAAACTGTGCCTTTTCTGTCCAAAGTGTTTTTGTCTGCAACCTATCCCAGAATTTGGCAACTGAACTGAACATGATATATAAGTGACTTAGATAACTTCTAAATATTTGGTTTATTTCAGTGTTTTATTTGTTCCTGAGTAAATCAGTTTGGCTGAGATTAAACATAGTTTTCACACAGCTGAATAAACAGAAAACTGATTAAACTGAAGTGTGAGATGATCGAGTATTTACTCCAATGTCTTGTTATATTTTGACGCGAATCTGAAGGCGAGACCGTCCCATTTCACAGCCTCGCACTTCTGCCCTTCTCGGTCTTCGGAGAACCCGGCCCACGTAGACTGCGAAGGCTGGGTCCTCCGAAGGATGCAGGCCCTGAATTGAGACACGGCTAAAGATCCCAAGCACTGCAGCAGATCTACAACAAAATGTTGCTGCAACGGCCCAAAGTTCAGACATGAACTGGACTGAAAGGCTGTGACGGTATTTTACGAGAGCTGTGCAGAAATGAAAGCCACAAGCCTGAAAGAACAACATATAGAGGAGTGGACCAAAAGCAGCAGTCAACAGCATCAGGCTTTTATTGGTCACTACACAGTAAAACAAATAATTATAAAGCCACACATCAACAAACTTACAGTCTGAATACAGGCACATTTCTTTCGTTTGAACTCCTTCCCATTAACATGCTTTTGGCCATCACCGGTGGGCAGAGAAAAATCCAGCGCTGATGTTCCATCCACCAATCAGAAAGCTCTCTTTTTAGCTCCATGTTTTTTCCCCCGCCTTCGGTTAAACAGCTGGTCTCTAAACGCTGTTTTTTCTTTCTTTAATTGGGAAGTTACAGTCTGACACCACAAAACATTTACAAACCAAACTTTTTATGCACAAAAACCACAAAATCATCTGACTCAGTACTGACATAAAACACTGCTAAAT